AAATTTACTTTGTGCTTTGTCTCTTGAACATTCAAATGAGAGATAAACACTTCAAAATGATTCTTTTAAAAAGATGCCTTTTCTTGAATTGGCCACAGAATAGTCCTACAAACAAAAGAATACAACAGGAGGCCTTCTCCTGTGAGAAATTCACTTTGCATTCCCCTTAGTGTCCATGACCTGGAATTGCTTACAAATACGAAAACACATTCTGGGTGTTTTACCTACACCTTCAAAATGTCATCAATCTTGAAATTTCAAAAGTCAGACTTTGCCGGATACCACATTTCTTCACATTCTCTTTTGTTTAACTTTAGGCTAATTTGTCCTGACAGTGCAGCTGCAGGCTCTGCGATGCAGTCTGTCATTAAGAGCACCAAGAATGATCTGGAGGGTTGGAGCTGTTGGAAGTTAATTTGGCGTAAACCCAACTTTCAAAGATTCTGGAGATATGACATGTCACGTCTATGTCCAGTCACACTTGTGTTTAAGAAGTTCTTGTTTATATTATAAATATGACCTTTACAGTTATCTTTCAAAGTGCCCAGTGCTTTGAAGAGGAACCCTGAGGAGCAATGACAATATTAGACTTGTTAAGCATGTTTCAGAGGAATGTCAGTGTCCATCTGAATGTCCTTTTTCCTTTTTTTTCTTCCTTTTCTGTCACTGTCAGCAGTGGCAGATTATAGTATTGGAGAAATGTGATCAAATTAATCCTAGATAATCAAAGTTCTACCTTCACACTTCTTAGTGAGGGTCCATTATTAATTGTCTCTTCCGCAGATAATTCCTAGGTCCTTTCTGACTCTAAATTCTCTCACTGGACACACCAATTAGTGTATATTGGTAAATGACTCTGTTACTCACTAGATCCAGAGTCAGCCATATTTTCCTGATTACAAACTGGATGACTTCCTTTGTTTCTAAACACCTGAATGAGAGGGTAGAGCAATGGAGAGGAGTGCATTTCTCTGACTTAGGTCAAGTGTCTAGCTAACCTTGCCATTCACCATTGGCACCACATAACTCTACTTCTTCGTATCTTTGTCAGATCCCTTTATCGATAGCTCCTGATCTAAATAATCCCTTCATAGCATGGAGCTATACAGCAGTCCTGGTGTCCACTGAGGTTCTGGGTTGCCCCTCTTGGATTCGTCATTGGCAGTGTGTGCATGAATTTATATTTCAGTGTGTGTGTACTTCGGATCTACCCTTTATATTCTTCTAATCCTTCTTTGAGACAAAGTTAAAGATCACAAACCTTAGCTTGAACTGACTGGTGTCATGGCAACTAGCACTTCACCTTTTGCTGGTCCCCATCTCATACATGCTACAATATTTGTGCACATTAATAATTCATTGCAAAGTGCCAGATTTCTTTGTGCTGTCAAACTGTGTCAAGGACAGAATATGCTGTGCTATCTCAGATGTCATCCACCAGACTGTTGAGGGCAAGAGTAATTAGAAAAGAAAACTAGGTAGGTTGGAAGAATTCCTGAAAATGAGATACTTTCTAGCCACCCATTTATAGCATTTATCTTGTAAAGTAAGGAACAGAATTAGTGTTGATCAAAGTTTATTTGGTAATATGCCCCAGACATAAGGCAGGAGTTAGATTGTGGAAATAACACATGAGCAGTAATTGCTCACCTTCATTCAGGCAGCAAAGGAAATGATTAACAGCCTTATTGCTCGATCACGTGAATCAGGCACCATTGAAAACTCGAGTTTTAAAAGAAACCTGAGTGGTCCTGGTGTGAATGCTCTTATCCTGGGCTTACCTTTGCCAGGCACATAGTGGGTACTGCTAGACACAGCTTATGGGAGACCACCAGTTTGGGCTCCAAGGCCAACTTAGCTTTGGTTTATTTTACCTCCCATTTCCTCAGCAATTTGTTTGTTGTCTTGACATAATGGTCATTGTAGTCACTGTAGTGTTAGGCCTATAATTGGTAAGTCTTTCTAAATAAAGAATATTGACATTTGTCTTGGAATGTAGAAAATGCAGTAGTGAGTTGGATTTCATTTGTACAAAGGTCCAAATTTGTCCGATTAGACAAAGAAATCACATATTTTAAGCTAAACATTGATATGCCACTACCTTAAACAAATCCCTTCCTCTCAAAACAAAAACAAAAACAAAAAAACCTTCATCTTGAAACAAACCTCTGCCTTTACTAGCTACTTAAAATGAGGTATATTTCCCTGAAAAACGTGTTTACAAATCAAAATTGATAAGGACTTTAGTACATAACCATACCTGGATTCCTTTTTACTCCAAATCACTTTGGGACAAAAGGAAGGAACTAAGCTCAAGCACATTGTTTTTAGAATATGTAGCCATAAGTACCCTGCTTTTGTGTAGGACATATTAGAACATTTTTATATTTGTAGTGATGTAACACACATTTACTGCTGGTGAGTGTAAATTCTGCTTAGAGACAGGAATGGTATTAGCGCCCATTTACCCATTATCGTTTTGGCAGATAATAACACAGTACCTGCATTTAATAGATGTTCAAGAAATACTTGTTGAATGAATTAAGTTTCTACTGCCAGACTAATTTCAGGAGAGGGAGGTAGGGACATTAATCCATTTCAGAACCTTGCCACAAATTAAACTTAAAAAACAGTTAGGAACTTGTTAATCTTCTATCACCTACCTTTATGTGGTGCTGGGACTCTGGATTAGTCATTTAACACCTGCAGGCAATGATGTTGAACATGAATGAGGTTAAGACAGTAGAGCCAACCACTCAAAGTCATGTTTCTAGCCAGAGCCCACTGCCAGCTAGAATTAAAGTGGACACTAACCTTGTGAATGAGTTTTGTCAGGTAACTAAAGCATATTTTCTTAACTGCTGTTTTGTATTGTGTGTAATTTCTTAGGACTTAATAGTATAGATATAATATTAAATCTTCTAAAACTAGACAAACTTTTAATACTTAGAAATGATATCTGGATAACATCAAGAGTAACATTTCATACTTTTTAACTTATCTGGGAACAACTATATAACCAGATACTTAAAAGAAGACTCACATAGAATTGACAACTTAAGAATGTTTTCTAACATTCTAAATTGGAATAGGTAAGCTACTGATGATGTTTCTGTATTGCAGTTCTATGACATAATAGCTTTATATCAGCAATAGAGCCTAGTGGTGAACCTATAATGACTTAAAGTACCAGCTCTTGCGCTTTTTGGCTATCAAGCAGACAAACTTATAATTACTACCATAATTACCCCAACCATTCCCACTACTACTACAGAGAAATAAAAACAAGCTGAGGCGTGTGTCTGTCTGTCATACATCCAGTGGTGTGCTAGGTCTATGAAGTGCATAAGAATGGCCTTTATCAACATGTAGCACCATTCTTAGTAGTTCTTGCTTAATATTTGTAAAATAATTTATCTGCCCCAGCTCAGTCTGGGGCAACCAGACAATTATAAAACAGTCCAAATCAAAACACATTAACAATAAAGCATCTGAGAAGTTCACTGTGTGTCCTAAATAAATATGAACAAAATCTAGATATGTAAAATAATATTAAAGGCTAACCCTACCACTTTCAATAGAAATTCATCTTCATCTGGAGACTCAGTGATACAGTTACTGTGAAACACTTTGAAAAGAATAAAAGACTTAAATATGTGATGAATAGTGTACTTCAAATTAATAGTAGGCCACTGGGGGCGGGTTATCAGAGAAGAGCCCATGGCTAAAACCTACAAATGTGATGGGTAACAACAGGAAGGAGGTCCAAATAAATGGTATGAATTGGAGGGTAAGGTTGTTGCATGATCTGGAATCAGACTGGGGAAGACACTGGGATTCTTCACAAAGATTCCTCTGTCATCTGTGTGCACCATAGATTGAAACATGGACTAATCAAAATTAATGGAATACCTGGTTTTGATCTGTACAAACAAGAGTTATAACAAATTAGTCATGTAAAAATGCAGTCGTCCCTTGCCAGGAAGTCCTCTAAGGAGGGAATGCATCTCTTCTTTTCTGTGTAATGTTTAGATTTTGGGTTTCTTTTTTTTTTAACTTCATAAATCATGGGAAGCAGTGTTGGCAGTAGGATATAACTCAACAGTGGACAGATTGCTCTTTGCTGCTTTCTTTTAAGAAGCAGGTTATAAAACTGTTGGGAGCCTGGTAAAGTAGTTAATAGATCATCGTAAGCAATTTGATCTCATTTTTTTTCAAGAACACAGTGTTGTGTCTTAAAGGCAAGCAAGCTAAAAGAAAGAGTTGGGTGAATAAAAGAATCGTGCCACCTCTGAGCCACTGCTTAGAGTGCCTGCCACAAGCTCTCCTACAGAGTAGATGGTCACCTACCTCCTAGTTAACCCCATAGAGGAGTGTGGTGATTCAGTGTTCTATGGGTTCTCCCATTCAGAGTTATCATTGACATAATTTTCACTAAAATGATTACTTTTAAAAAAAAATGATTACTTTTACCCTGATTTTTAATGTCCTAAAATACTTTCTATCCTATTGGTACACTTCACTAATCAAGCTTTGGAAGCCAGAGGATGATGCTGGTGTGCTTTCATTCATAAGTTTGTTGGCACTCAGATATAGCCACAAGGCAAACAGTACAAGCCAGCTGTTTGTGGGGAGGATGCACTAAAGTGTCTTGAGCATTAAAAAAAAATCTCTGACCTAGGAGAAGTTTAGATTAGCAGATAACTATCACTTGAAAGCTGATAAAAAGCTGTTAATGGCTTTCTTTTCATCTCTGGACACTGTCCCCATAAGCTCTTGTATTACAGCCTTGTTGGTCACGGCCTATAATAGACTGCCATGCCAATGATACGGTGCTAACTTCATCACACACCCTTGGAGGAGCTCCTCTTTTTTGCTAAATGTAAAATATTTTTAAATAAATTGGGAAGTGTAACATGAAAAGGTTTGTTTGGGATTTCAGATGAGTTTTAGATGAAACTCAAAATATTTGTTCTTAAAACTTGAATCTTTTCTTTCAGACCACTAAAGCTTTTCTTCCTACAATGCTGGAGATTAATCATGGTCATATTGTGACAGTTGCAAGTTCCTTGGGATTATTCAGTACTGCTGGAGTTGAGGTTTGTCAGATGTAAAGCATTTCATTTATTCAATTGTTGTGATCTCATGACAAATACACCAGAATCCTAAAAGAGTACCTGTACTCATGGACACATTCTACTTGTTTGCTGTTTGTGGAGTGTTCTACAGTAACCAGGTCCCACTATTTAAATGCAACTCCAGGGCCTCCTGGTACCTTGGAGTTGGGTCTCAGCACTGTCGCCACCAGGAACCAAGTTCAATCTCTGGCCAGGGAGCTAACCCACATATGACACAGCAGACCTCTCCTGTCTTGCCCTCCTTAGCAGTGTATTTCAGTAGATCCGCCTGTTCTGCTCCCCACTCTGTTTCTCTGACCCCCTGCACCTCTGGCCCACACTCCAGGTCTTCTACACAAAAATTTTTTTTAAAATACTCTATTTTATTTTAAATCAATAAATACAACTCCACGTATTCTGCTGTAAGATCACCTAATCTAGTTTGAAAAAGCAGCAGCAGCAGCAAGTGAAGCAGGTGGGCCAGCCCTGAGGATATCCCCTATCCTTAGCAGTTTTATTTGATGACAGTATAAAGGCAGAGGATCAGAAATGAAACTGTGAAGGGCAGTGACAGTGCCACAGGAAACAGATAAATGAGGCCAAAGGTTGATGTTTTGTTTTGGTCAACTTGCCAAAAGTGAGCTATCTTGTATTAGCTTATCAGATGAGACGGTTCTGCTCTTCAGTTGTGAGGTGTCCAGCCTTTTAGCCCTGGGCTTAATCACACCCTGTTCTTCACCATCTTCAAATTCTAAAGCATGTGTGTGTGTGTGTTGCTCTGTGCTACTTGTCCTATGGGTGCTTATAGCATGGAATTGAAAACACCACTCCATGCAAATATATATCAAAGTATACCAAATAGATGGCTTCTACTTTCTACATTTCCATTCCTAAATCTAAAGCTGGTTAACAGAAAAGAACTTTTTTCCACACCAGGTTAATTATACCTAGGTTAACCTGTATCTCAGTTAAGTTCTAGTTGAAACTTACAAGACATAGCTGTCATTTTACTTTTACTTTACCCTGAAAAGAAAATAGCATCATAACAACATATAACCTAAGCTACTCTTGCCTTTGTTCTCCCAGCATTAATTTAAACAAACTGGTTTTTCGATCTCCTTTACAGAGCAAGAGATCATTTGTAAATGTTCCAGACACTTCAAAGTGAGCCTCTCTCCATTTTTAACTTCAACTTGTTAGCTTTCATAGAATCCTTTGTGGTAACTTCCCTAAAGTAATTTGATACTTCATTGATGTGGCAAAAAGTGTTCATCTGTTTCTGCTGTTGCTTTGAAAATATTATTTCTGCACTGAACCACATCAGATATCCATCTTTTAAAATGCTTTCCATTTCTTTGCATAGTCACCTGTAAACTTTTATATCAAACGTATAACCAAAGTTACTAGGACCAAAGAAACTTCACTGGGTTTTTTTGGGAGATCTGTACACATACTTAGCATTTCTTTTCTCTCTCTTCTCTATTTTAGGATTACTGTGCCAGTAAATTTGGAGTTGTAGGTTTTCATGAATCCCTGAGCCATGAGCTAAAGGCTGCTGAAAAGGATGGAATTAAAACAACGTTGGTTTGCCCTTACCTTGTAGACACTGGCATGTTCAGAGGCTGCCGAATCAGGTCAGTGAGATGCCATCTTACTAGTGATGAAAAACTATTTTAAAAATCATCTTCCTCTATTGGTGGAATATATGGAGTTGGAATATCAGACATCGCCTGGCACTTTATTATTTGATAGTTAACCTATAGTTTTCATTGGCTAAAATTTATAAATTGAGCATGAAATTGATGAGTGAGAGACTGGTACCACCACTGATGTTAACATGCATACGTTAATCTAGAAGCATCAGATAGGAAAGGGCTTCTGTACATCATCAAGGAGAAAACAAATACTCAAGACTTTTTTTAGGAGCTATTTCTTTAGGAGTTAATTTGTGTACTTAATAGTATGTTGGGAAATAAATGCGAATTTTATTTGAATACAAAAAATGTCACTGTCACAGAAAAGGAAGGGCTTTCTTCTAAAAAGACCTTTGACTATAACTCCTCAGATTTGGTTTTTTTTTTTTTTTTTTTTTGCAGAGAGTGTATGTAGCCAGATTTCACTCTCACAGAATGAGAACTGTTTAGTTTACTAAATGAAATAAAATACCCACATGCTTTGAAAGGAGGCATATGGGAATAAAGATGTCAAGTCACATCTGACTTGAGCTAAGCAGAATAAACAAAACCATGAATGATTAAAAGGATACTTGTGAGGACATGCTCACTTTGAGGTCTTTGCTTGGATGAATTTGAAAGGCAAAGGAAGATAACCCAACCAGTTCCCTGTTGGTCAGGGCTGAACCTGAGCAAGCTGTGAAGTTGGTGGAGGGGAGGGTGATTTGAGTCACTCCATCTCAGGTCTGGCTGACTCCAGGACTGGACTGGGAGTGAAGTCGAGCTCTAGTGCGCATGCCTGTGTGTGTGTTGTTGGTTTTGTCCTCTTGTGTGCTTAGGGAACCAGTTGCTGAAGTTCCAAGGAGCTCTGTTTCCTATTTAGCATCACGGCAGGTGTCCAAAGCTGTGGCTAGACAATGAAAAGTGAAAGGAATAAATTATATTATTAGGTTATTTCAACATGTAACTGAATGAATTCAGCTGCAAGCAGGATCTCTACATGCAATTAATTTCAAAAAGCTCTCCCTTCCACCACCACTTAAAGAAACTATCTTGGTTTTCTCTACTCAGGCATCCAGGAGAGTTGAGAGCTAACTTTTCACTCAGGAAAGTTATGCCAATATTTATACACCTTTATTTTAACCACACTTAAATGTTTGGCATCTTGTTTGGGTTTACTATTTGCTATGCCAAACATCCTCTCCTTTTTCTACTGAAAAAAAAAATAGAAAAATAATTTAAAATATATTTTAAAACATTTATAAAATATGAACTTGTCATTTTACAGAAAAGTAGACTCGGTTTTGATTAAAAATGTATTCATATTAGGAGAATTTGGAAAATAACGGCAGAACACAATAGACCTAAAATCCTGCCTCTCACCTCTGTCAATGTTTTGATATGTACTTCCAGGTTTCTTCCCTATGTTGTGTTAATTCCTAATGTCACTTTTTAATATGAATTTCAGGAAAGAAATTGAGCCGTTTCTGCCCCCTCTGAAGCCCGATTACTGTGTGAAGCAGGCCATGAAGGCCATCCTCACCGACCAACCCATGATCTGCACCCCCCGCCTCATGTACATTGTGACTTTCATGAAGAGGTAACTGGGGGGTTCCCTCGTGAATGGGGTCATTCTGTATCTGCCCCTATGACTTGATTAATACAAGACCTCTCACATTTGCTAACCTATGGCTTATTTTTTCAGCATCCTCCCTTTTGAAGCAGTTGTGTGCATGTATCGATTCCTAGGAGCAGACAAATGTATGTACCCCTTTATTGCTCAAAGAAAACAAGCTACAAACAATAATGAAGCGAAAAATGGAATCTAAGAATTCTTTTTATATGGAATATCATTTCTATCAGAAGACGATCAAGATATTTCAGTCCAATCCACTCCAGCATTATTAACATTCTCCGGATTCTGAATCCATGTTGACTTATTTTTAAATCAACTTAAAAAAAATAAACTATAAATTAACCAACTAGAATACTGGGAAAATGTGATCAGCAAAAGTAGGCGTCGGTTGTTGCCATTGAAGTCCTGACAGGCAGAACCCTAAAACCAGACAACATTTTAGACAAGCACTGTGCAACATCTCCAGGCTACCATTATTTTTTTTAATAAGCAGAAAGTCTAGAGATGATAACAACAGTTTATTTTGCATATGTGGTTTTTTTCTTGATTCCATAGAGTTTATCAATTCTTATAATTAAACTCTAGCCAGTTGACACCCTTGCAACTTCAAGGACTGGTAGTGTGCTATATTTTCTCATGTTTTCTAAGTTTTGGTTTTGCAAAGCCCTATGTGACTTTTTCATGGTATTTGTACGTACAGCTCTTTTAAAAAGGAATTTTAAGATCTCCATCAATTTAAAGTAAATAATGTTTGGTTGTCACAATAAAAGTGAACTGGTCTCTTTCTTAATGTCATAACAACTAAACTTGGCAGAATTTTTAATTTTATCTGTGAAATATTTCCTTAATTAACGATTACTCTGGAGACCCTAGTTATCAGAAAAATCATACATTTTCTACCTGTGAATTTTGCTGCATACAGAAAGTGCCCTTTCCTTGGGAAGTTGCTGTGTTTCATTTCTTTAGCTGGACTTTTAACTAGACTACACAGCAACTCTGTAAAGAAACAGTTCCTAAAAACGGGAACTTCTGCATTTAAGAAAGTCCCCACTTTTGTGCCAACTATTATTAGTGAGGAGGAAAGTCTTACTCTCTGGAGCATGTATGGAAGGGTGTAAAGATTCTTTTGAAAGTCTTATTCACATTATAGAACAGCAAATGACATTTTTACAGTATTTTTTTGTAAGACAAACTATTTTGTGCCTTGAATTTGGTAAATGTGTATTAGTGAAACGTAAAAGTGAACTTCTACCTCTGTATCTAAATGTATACCATCCACTTGTAAATTACTATAAACTATTATGTGATTGCTTTTTTTAGAATGTCTTGTTTAAATAGCAAACAATGTTTAAGGCTATTAAAATAAGCCATCTTTTACTAATTAATTGGGAAGTTTTATAATGGACTGATTAAATATAAAGAATTAACTTACATAGAGTGGACTGTGTGATTATTAGTTATCAGCATTGTTGTAGAGAAAATCATTGTGTTCTTTTCTTCATGCTGTGTCCCACCTTAAAGAAAAATTTTGAATGGGATTATGTTCCAGAACAGATGTTAATAATTAGGGGTCATACACTCACATTTCATATATTACCATCTACTTAGACTTTATATCAGGGCAGGTTTATGCTAGAAATGGGATTTGTGCTGGTTTGGCTGCACCACAAATCTGCATTGTAGCCAAAAACAGAAGAGTCCTCACTCAGCGCTGATGACCCCAAGACTAATCTTACAGAATAGCTTAATTCTACATTTAAATTTAACATAACATAATGCTAACACTCTTCATAAAGACAGTTAACATAACATAATGCTAACACTCTTCATAAAGACAGTTAACATAATGCTAACACTTAACATAATGCTAACACTCTTCATAAAGACAGTTCTTTCCCTAAACGTGAACTCTTCTGGTCCTTCTGGTCAAGCCTGCATTCTTATGTTGATCGCTTAAGTGATTACCAAGTTTACTTCTCTTGCTGATTATTCATCTAAACCCTTCACCCACCTTAAGATTAATGCCAACTTTGAATATGTCCTCTTTTCTGTCATCTATCTCACTCAGGTGAGTGTACAGGGATATTGAAATCAAGCTGACCCTACAGATAGCCCCCCCACCCCCAACTAGTACTAACTTCTTTCTCTCTCCCTCCAACACACACACACACACACACACACACACACACATTACCTCATTAACCTTTCAATCATATTGAGTGGGACCCAGGAATCAAAAGTTTTGAAGCCCATAAACATAAATTCCAACTATTGTTTTCCTGCTTGATTTACCAGGTTTGCTGCTCTGTCACAAAAGATTAGATTAGCTTGACAGGATTGAACTACATGAAGCCAGACTGGGTTGGGATTTTTTTTTTTTTCTTTTTTAAGTATCCTGTTTCCTTGAAAGGCTATAGCTTTCAAATTTTTCCCAAGTAAAAAAAAAGTCAAATGTCTTTTTCAAAGGTTTCTTTTCCAACTGGCAGATATAATTCTTAATTGTTGTTGACCTGAATCTTGGAGATTTGCTTTTGTCTCCAACAAAATATAAAACCAGTGGGGGTTGGGAGGGGAGGGGAGAAAGTAGTTCTTTCCATGCCAAATTTATTGCCTGTGTCTCTAAGGAGGAGAGAAAGCAAGGACTCAGTGGGTCAGAAGCAGCTGGGACATGGGACCAGAGAACATGAGTCAGCATTCACCATAGTTGAACAAGTGCAGCAGACATCTCTAGGCCCAAGGGCCTAAACTAGGACTCAAGTAGCTTGCAGTTAACTCACAAGTTCAAATACAAGTAACTGTGTCCATATGCCACAAATGAATCCTTGGATTATGATGAGATCTCGGCAAGATAGGGACCTGAGAGGTATCGGTAGAGAAATAACCTAGAAGCTTGATGATACAAATGATGAAGATATGAATGGGAGCAGGCATTTCCAGGGAACTATGAGTTGGAGTTGAAGAAAGAATACCATACTCATTGTGCCTGAAACAGGACTTATGAAGAGAATGTCATGCTTTCCCTGAGATGGTCTCAGTATGAGGATGCCTTCAGAACGAGACTGGGTGCTTGAAATGATAGAGAAGAACTTCTTTTTTTTTAAGATTTATTTACTTATGCATACAAAACTGGCATACAGGCCAGAGATGCAGGGGTGGTAAGAGAATTCACCAGAGACAGAGCATGGAGCAGAACAGGCCATCTGATGAAGTACACTGCTGAGGGGGCAGTGGACAGGTCAGGAGAGGTCTGCCATGCCATGTGGGTCACCTCCAGGGTGGGGATCGAACTCATGCTGAAGTGGTTTTAGCTTCTTAGTGCTGTGCTTTAACTCTTTGTGCCACCAGGGAGGGCCAGAACTAGAACTTTTCAGGCAGGAAAACAACATGAACAGAGTTGTAATGTTAATAGAATCAATTTAAGCCGTCTTAATTGTGAGACCTAGGAGAGCAATTAGGAGGGGAACTATTGTAATAGTTAACTAAAATGTGATAGGGTCTGCAGTGAGGAAAGGAAAAGAGGGGTATCCCTGGTGGCACAAGGGGTTAAAGCACAGCACTATAAAGCAATCTGCAGCTACTGCAGCACAAGTTTGATCCCAGACAGGGAGTTGACTCACGTGGCACAGAAGACCTCTCTTGTCTCACCCGCTTCTTCCCTCCACTCCATACCCATGGTCTGTACTCAGCTCTTGTATGCATAAATAAATAAACCCTTTTTAAAAAGAGAGAAAGGAAGGGAGTTTATGAAGTGAGATCTCCACAAAGTGTGCTTTCACTGATGGCACAGAAATCTTAACTTTTAAGCTCAATGACCAAAGAGTGGTTTGTCGAGAGTGGCTGTTTTTAAGTGAAAGCAATGGAATCAATAGTGAATCTGGCTTTAGAAATGTTGCATTTGAAATGCCAGGTGACAGGTACTGCCATCTGGAGATGATGCTCCGGAGAGGATAGGGCCATGATTCTGGACTCATGGACATAAGAGCTGTGCAGTGAGTGATGGAGTGGAACAGTGCAGAATGAAAAGGTCCAGAGGCCAAAACTTGGAGACCATGAAGGAGCAGTCAAAGGAAGTCATAAAAGGTGAGGCTGGAACAAGTTAGGAGGGGAACTTCCTCCTCCCAAGAAGAAAGCAGACTAGAAACAATTATCTCCTCTGCCTGGACCTAATCTCCAGTCTGAGTCACATTTAAGAAACCTCAGTCTGGCCCAAGAAAAAGAATCTGTGTGGCCAGCCCCGGGGCAGAGGTCCAAAAGGTGAAGGCCAGTGTTAACAGATAGCACATGGCGGCTTTAGCTGTGCACTCGGGTTTCTAGTAACTGAATCCATTGTTAAAACGACCAAAGGGAAATTTCTTCCGAAATGAAGCCTGGAAACTTGTTCTTTGGCAATTTTGTGTGCTTGGCCTCAGAAGTATGACTTGCTTAAATGTGCGGGCAATGTTTCATGAGAACCCTGAGGGAAAACAAAATGTGATTGCAATATCACCAAAAAGATACATGTTAGTTCAAGTGAACCCTTCTATGTGCCAAAAAGAGGGGACAGGACCAGCTCCTATCAGTCTGCTCCACAACAAGACAGACTCCTATCAGCGTCCCTCAAGTACTGAACTGACAGGAGGCCAAGAACCACTCGGGGCTTGCCCCAGGTCAAGATGGATAACGACTGCACTCCCTGCTCCCCCGAGAAAAGTCAAGGCCAGGCAAGTGACCACCATTCTCTCCACTATTATTTATTTTGACTCTTCCTGGGCCTTGCAGTTCCAACTTTACCAAAGTTATTTCAAAAAAGCACTTACCACATTTTCATGCTTTCTGAGAAAGCACAGAGAATGTGCTCTTCTATAATCCTGATTCCTACTCACTATTTATTTCTCGTTTAACTTGCCCCATTTCAGTAGAGAACACACAGAATGTCTTCGAGGACCTTCTAGCAAGCTTTTTAGCTATGACTGTTGAAGCCTTTCTTCCCCTAGCCAAAAGTAAGAGATTTGATTACCAAGAAAAAACTAGCATCTACAACCAGATTCTAGTTTGAGATTTTCTTGTCAAGGTGGTTTAACACATGCAGAGATGGGTATGTGTCCATAGCAGCCATGAAAAATGCCTTTGGCCTTGCCTGCATGTCCTGGGGGTTCACCTGGAAGCTGTCTTCCCCAAAGTGGTGGAGCAAGAGTCTGGTTCCTCCATGCCTGACCTCTGTCCACTCAGCTAATCCAGCTGGGCTTTGCGTCAGGTCTGCATGGCCTAGGAGCACACAGGACATAGAAGGTTGTGGCCCCAACACAGGCACACACATGAGCTAGCACACAGCATCCTACAGCCACTGAGCTCTCATTGGAGAGCA